TTGCTTATTTATTTTAAGGTTATATATACACACAAGACACACACACACACACACACACACATACACACACACACACACACACACACACACACACACACACATACACATTTTCTTTGAGTCCCAAGGTCGTTAGAGGCCACCCTGTTCTTTCCACCTTTCACAGTCTTCTTGTATTTATTTTATATGCATTTTCAGTGTTTTTACCATTCAGTAGGAATAAAAAAGAGAAATGTGTTTATTCCAATTTTTTGGAACCAAATGGATAGCCTCTTCATTTTAATATTCTTATTTTTTCCTCAAATGTGTTAAGTACCAGAGGCCCTACTTATGAAGCACTGATAATCAGATCATGGCAGGTGCTTTTACATTAGACTCTATTTTCCTTTTGGCAAATGGGTGCTTTCTTGTACCCCTCACATGACATACAGAAGCTGTGAGGAGAGGCTCACTCTCCATTCCCATTAGCCCTGGCCAGAGTGAAAGATTGGCAAAGTCACTTCTCTTGGCACCATTTCTCCCTCTTAGGAGGAGATGGTTGGATTTCTGCTCTTGTAACTCTAGGGCGTCTTTTTCTGCGTGTGTTGGCCTTTTTGTGAGTGCAGGTGCCTGCTCTGTATGGGTGCTGTTCTCACCACCACACACGTGTTGAATCCTGTACCCTTGCTGTGGCGCCATCACATAGGTGCCCTGTAACCCCTATTACAGAGGTGGGAACCCCAACACTGACTGCTGAGATAACTCACCTGTGATCCCACAGCCAGCAGGGGCAGAGCTGTGATTGTACCTCAGATCCCAGAGCCTGCCCTCAGCCTGCGGTGGGTGAGGTCACAGGCTGGAGAGAAAGACGAGTGCTTTTCTTCAGTAAGTGGAGAATTTGATGATATTCCTTTATTTCCACAATGGCTGCAGCGGAGGGCATTGAGAACAGCCTCAGAAAAACTCAGAAACCGGTCTTCCTTCTCTACCAACGTTGTCTACACCACCCCAGGCACTCGTGTCAACAGATACATCAGCCGCCTCCTAGAAGCCCGCCAGACAGAGCTGGAGATGGCGGACCTGAACTTCTTTACCCTGAAGTACAAACATGTCGAACGGGAGCAAAAGGTACGTGGCTCTGGTTTTAAATTTCCCTGGTGCCATTTGTCAAAGCACTGCCTGTCTCGAGGAAGCCACTGACAGAGTGACCTCTCTCTTGTGCAGTACCACCAGCTTCAGGACGAGTATTTCACCAGCGCTGTCGTCCTTGCCCTCATCCTGGCTGCCTTATTTGGCCTTGTCTACCTTCTGATAATCCCACAGTACGTATTTTCATCAGCGAGATGGGAAGGTCACCAAGAAGTCCAGGTTCCTCGGGTTGGTGACTGTGTTTCCTTTTTTATGTTCAAGGTTCACCTCCCACAGTTAATATCCCAGTGTGCCTGACTTTTAGGGAAGACATTAGCCACCTTGCAGGTCTCCATTTAGCAAGCCTTGATGGCATACAGCGTGGGGCTGGTCACTTTCAATTTTTAATTCTGAATTGACTCAATTCTAAGGCATCATATATTTTCAGTTTCTCTAATCATGAGACATGCACCATTGCCTTAATAATAGCTTTTGAGGGTGAAAACAAACAGTGCACCAAGTAGGCTCATTGTTCCACGTCATTTTCAGAAACATTAAAATAAGAAAAAGAAGCCTCTGAAGAGGAAGAAAAACATAGTGATTTAAATAAGATTTAAATATCATGTGAGTCCATGTGAGTTTGGTGGCTTTTGTTTTTTGGCAAGAAAGACACCACAGTCTCCACTCACTACTTTTCTTCCAGACATTCCCGTTTCTTAATGAAACCTGCCTCCGGGAATAATATCTCCTTTGAGTTTCCAGAAAGCACCTGGAAGCCACCCGCATCTGCTGGGGAGGAGGAACCTCAGTCTGGGTTGCTGTGCATCCCACCCAGCCTGGATGCTGGGAGCACAGTGACTGCCCAATGGCCCTATTTGGGGATCAAGCCTTTCCTAAAAATGCCCTTCCCAGGCAAAGCCCAGCAAGAGGACAGTTCAGCAAAATCTGGGCAACTCCTGTCTTTCCATCATGAAGAAAAGGGCTTCCAGAAAAGTCCTGTGACTCTCAGCCCAGGCTAGACCTTGGGGATGCGGGTAGTGGAAATGGGTGGGGTGGGCTCAAGAAAGGCCCCCTCACCCAGCAGCCACAGATGCCCTCCCCTAGAAGAGAACCAGCCTTGGGAAAGTCACAGGGACCTGAGTGCAGGCAGCTGGCTTAATGACACTGCTTCCTCCTGGGGGCTCGGGGGATTGGGGGGATGCTGATTTCCAGGCACCTCTTGGGTCCACCTCTCCTGGTGCTTGCCTAGCAGTCTTCTGACCCTCATGTCTTCTGTCCTGCAGGAGTGTGGCCGTCCTGCTCCTGCTAGTGTTTTCCATTTGCTTCCTGGTGGCCTGTGTCCTGTACCTGCACATCACCCGGGTCCAGGTATGTGGGTGGCCTGTGTCCTGCACGTGCTCATCATCTGTTCCAGGTACTTGGGTGGTGTGTGTCCTGTACTTACACATCACCTGGTCCAACTACGTGGCTGGGCTCTGTCTACCCTCTCAGCAGGACAGGTGGGACAGGGAAGGTAGTTCTGTCCCCTCACCCTCCATGACAGGAAGCATCTGCTTATGTAGCAAGTGCTCATTAAGCCCCAGTTGTGCACTGGGCACCATGCACTCCTTTCTTTGGGAGCGTGCCTGACAGGCACAGTGGCTGGTTGAGCAGTGCTGAGTAAATAAATGAACACAAGATACTCGTCCAGTTCTCCTGGAATGGGGAGTCCACAAGGGGACAGGAGTGGGATAGCTCTTTGTGTGTTCATGTCATAGACTTGGGGGGTGACACTTCTCCAGGTGATGATTTATCTGCTCTGCTCTTGTGGACTTTTGGAACAAAGGCTTGAGCTTTGCAGCCTTGCACCACCCATGGTTCACTGCAGAGGGCTCTGTTTTTCCTAGTCCTGAGTTCCTTTGTCACATTCTCAACCTTCATTTCCAAATGCTCCATTTCCCCAGCCTGCCCCCAGGTGTCACTTCTGGCAGAAACAGTGTTATTTTTGCATAACTATTGAAAACAGCAACTTTTTGAGAAGACAGAGTTTGTGTTTATTCATTTAACTTTGTCATTATTCATGGGTAATATCTTAATTTTTTTCGATTTTAAAAAGATACTAACTATTAAGATTGCACTCCCAGTTCTTTGAGTTTTGTAGATCGAGTGACCTTTGGTGTGGTGAACTTTGGAATTTCCCACTTCAAATAATTTCATAGAATTTCAAGTATGAGCGTGACAGATGGATGATAATTTTTCAAGCCTATCACTTTGTCCCTGGTGGCGGGAACCAGTGTGCAACACCCCTCCATGGTGTGCACACAGTGTAAGTCGTGCAGAAAGTGTAAGAAACCGTTGGGGAAAAGGAACGAAGCAGGACTTGAGGAACGCACCAGCCTGGACAGCCCTGCCCAGCAGGTCCCCTCATGGCTGGAAACTTTGGCAGCATAATTCCTGGGTGATTATGTTAAAAATAAGTCAGCCTATGTTAGCCCGTGTAGTGTCTCCCTGACTCCGTTATTTCGTTCTCTTGGTGGGCTCCGCCCTGGGCTCCATTAGGTCCTCTCTTTCTGAATGTCCACTCCCCCTTCTCGTCCTCTCCTGTGAGCAAGTGTGGAGTGTTGTTTTTACTAAGTATGTGTTTTGGAAGTGCCAGGCTCAAAAAGCGGCAGGGGTCCGACGTTCTGGGGAGCTGCCAAGAGTGGCACTTGTGGCCGGTTTGCAGGAAGCAGATGGGAGCCCAGGTGCGCAGACTTCTCAGCTAGGACAGGAGGTGGACTCAGCTCACAGCGGCGTGCACTGGGTCAGGGTTTGACTGCACCAACACGTGCCTAGGCGCGTGTTTGTCGGCTCTGCACTGGGCTCTGAGCATTGCTCACGGGAGCGACTAGGGCTGTGGCAGAGGCCTGTGCCAGCCACTGTGGGATGGACAGCAGGATGGAGGCTGGGGAGCTCTAGGGGAGGCCAGCAGGCGAGAGGTGACGCCCGTCCAGCAGAAGACCAGCGTGGCCAAGGAGGAGATGCGAGTGGGTACGGCTGGTCACATGGGTAGGATTAGATCCAGTTGCCAGAACACATCCCAAGAAAGCCTGTGGCAGCAACAGGACAGAAAGGTTTTCCTCCCTCATGTTGGCAGTGTCCACAATCAGGGTGTGCAGGGCGGGTGTGGCCACTCCATAGCCACCTGGGACCTTTGCCCCCTCACTTGGCTCCCTCGTTCCTCAGGGATGTGCTAACTCTGGGCCTTGGGCTCCAGCTCTCCAGGCCTCAGTGTTGCCCTCTGTGAACTGGGGGTGACGATGGTCCCCACCTCACTGGCCGACATGAGGATTCAGTGAGCTGACGCGTGCAAAGTCCATGGCGCGGGACCTGGCATACCATGTGCTCGATTGGAATGTCCTGAAATGCAATAAGAGGGGAAAGGCTGAGGAGAAGAAGGGGTGGTGGATGGAGCCCATCCCAGGAATTGGTGGGGGTTTCTAGTCCTGCAAGTCCTGGAAGTGGTGAGGGCTTGAGGGTCCTGCTGCGAGTTGAAAGGGGCAGAGCTGGACTGGCTGGATGCAAGGACCCGGCTGGGGCAGGGTGTGGACTTTGTAGTGGTGCCAGCCCTGGTGGAGGTGCGGTGGGGAGACCGCAGAGCTGACCGGGCTGAGGTTCGGATGGCTGGGCCTAGAGGGGAAGGGGAGGGGATGGGAGAGGAGGAAGCCAGCGGGGTGCACACTGGCCAGACCCCAGGTGGGGCTGAGGGTGCTGCGGACAGGGCAGGCCAGGATCACCTGGCATCAGGCAGGTTTGGAGGCACTTGGCTGGATCCTGGGGACGGGGGCCTGGCGTGACCCTCCAGGCAGCTGGGGTGTGCCTTGGACAGGCTGCTCCTCACTGGCCTGGTGCTGACGGACTTGCCCCTGAGCCCTGTGCTCCCGTCCTCCCTCTGCCTCACAGCTCAGTGAGCTGTTCCGATCTCGTCTTCCTGGAGCGCTAAGGGAAGGCAGAGGGGACGGGCTCAGCGGGGGCTGGGTCCATCTGGGCTGGCTGGGGTAAGGGAAGAGCCCCCCAAGCTCATGTCCCATTCTGAGCCCTGCGCCAGGGCATGGAGTTTCAAAGGCAGGGTGACAGGATTTGCACCGGTTATGATATTCGAGTTAAACTCGATGGCTTTGAAGGACAGAGAGTTAGAGACCCTGCGCAGATGTCCTTAAAGATGGGGGTGGGGGGCTGGAAGCACATAGGGGAGTGAGTGACCCCCAGAGACAAACCAAAGGGCTTCCTCTTAGCCCCTGTGAGTGCAGATGGCCAGGAAATGGCGCCTGCTTTTTCTTCCCTCCTGTCCTCATGTGACATCCTCTTCTGCCTCAGTCCCCCAGCAGCTCCCAAGTCTGTGTCTGTGTGGGATTGAGTTTATTTATTTAGCATAAATTAAGTCACTACTGTTGAAACTTTAAATTGCAACTCCCTGGCAGGTTGTGAAATCAATTTTTGTATGGTGTGAACAGCTGTGTTTTTACAAAGGCATGGACTGGAAATGAATGAAAACCATCTTCCTGAGTCAGGGCTGGAGTCCTGCCTCAGTTGTGGTGGAAGGGGCAGTCGTATGAAATTTCTTAATTTGACACCCCGTCAAAAACTAGGAAGGGCCCTGCTCCCTCCCTGCCTTTCACCAGGCTGTGATAAGCATTGACTCGCCTGTCTCCCTGCCACCCAGCATGCCCCAGTTGCGTTCTTTTTTCATCCTTAATGCCTTACGCAGCGTGGTCAGGGCTGAGTGGAGACGGATGCAGGTGTGGAAAGGGTAGATGGAACCATACTGCTCCTGGTTGCATTTGTCTAAACCGCTGCAGCTCCTACAGCCCGATAGCTGTGCGCCGCGAAGGCGTCATCCTCCAAGCATCACCTCCACAGTGAGACTGTCTGCACTACTGGTTGTCACTGCGTCCTCCCCTGGGCACTGTGGTGTTTTGCTCGAAGATTGCACTCCAGTGTATTTGTGGGCTCCTCCCACTTGTGGGGTCCTTTTCTTAAATTCAGCTCATGGAGAGAGCAGCCTGGTCCTGTAGGGGCTGATACTCCAGGATGCTCACTTGCTGTGGCTGCTGTCACTTTTTGAATCGGTGTTGCTGTCATTTGTACCTGCCTCGACATCATGCTTTGAGGGTGTCGGTAACAACCAGCAACCTGCTGGGTTTGTGTTTGATTGAATGTAGGTCATGTTCTTGGGGAATTTTCCATTGTTCATATCAGAGCAGCTATTTTTTTTCTATATTTCTACAAGCTATTTTCATGTTATCTTTGTCTGTGGCTGTTCATTTTTCGTTTTGCTTATGAAAAAGAACCAATAAGCACTACTCAAACGAACTATTAAAACAAAAAGAGTGGCCCATCCATCTTCAAAATAACAGACAACGCTCCCTATCATTTGTCTGTGCTGGTCCTTCGGGGCATCACTGTTCAATTTCTGGAGAGGTAGTTCAACTCTTATTTATTTGATCACACGTTCACAGGATCAAGTATGGAGCATTGCATGAAGAGGATCTGAAAAACTCCGGGGCTGGCAGTCCCAGCCCCCGACCCAGGGTGTGTCCGGGGCAGCCAGCCTCCCAGAGCTGCCTCCGCCCTCCGTAAAGTCTGTGGAGCTGCAGTTAACATTTTGCAAGTAACTGAATAAATAGCCCGTTCAAACGCCTGAAATGAGGAAGGGAATTTATTGGCTCCTGGATCCAGAGGAACCAGAGGACGGAGAGCCCAGGGTGGTTTGATCCAAACGGCTCGGTTCTGCCCAGGGCCCACCCTCCAGATCCTGCCCCGGCCTCCTCTGGCTCCAAGCGCAGCAGGGAGCCTTCTCACTTCCCTGCCTTCCTCTTGTGCTGCCAGCCAGAGAAAACTGATTTTATTTATTTTTTGTTTTAAATTTTATTTTTTATTGGCAAATCATAAGTGCGTATATTTATGGGGTACAATGTGATGTTATTATATATGTGTACATACCTTGTGGCATTATTAAATCAAGCTAATTAACATATCCATCACCTCACACACTTATCATTTTTTGTGGTGAGAACATTTAAAATCTACTCTTTTAGCAATTTTGAAGTATATAATACGTTATTATTAGCTGTAGTCACCCTGCTACGTGATAGGTCACTAGAACATATTCTTCCTGTCTAATTGGAACTTGGTACTCTTTGACTAAAATGTTCCTTTTTTCCTCTCCCCCCAGCCTCTGGTAACCACTATTCTGCTCTTACTTCTGTGAGTTTGACTCTGTTAGACACCACATATGGATGTGTCAGATCACGCGGTATTTTTCTTTCTGTGCCTGGCTTATTTCACCTAACGTAAAGCCCTCCTGGTTCATCCATGTGGCCACAGATGACAGGATTTCCTTCTTTCTCAAGGCTGAATAGTATTCCATAGCGTGTGTGTACATTTCTTTATCTGTTCATCTGTTGATGGGATGTGGGTTGTTTTCATCTCTCGGCTACTGTGAATAGTGCTGCCGTGAACACGGGAGTGCGGTTGTCTCTTCAACATCCTGACTGTATTTCCTTTGGATGTGTACCTAGAAGTGGGAGTGCTGGATCATGTATGGTAGATCTATTTTTAATTTTTTGAGGAACCTCCATACTGTTCTCCATAATGGCTGTACTAATTTACACTCCCACCAACAGTGTGCAAGGGTTCCCTTTTCTCCATATCCTCCCCAACACTTACCTTTCATAATCTTTGATAATAGTTATTCTAACAGGTGTGAAGTGATAGCTCATTATAGTTTTAATTTGCATTTCTCTGATGATTAGTAATGTCAAGCATTTTTTCGTATATCTGTTGGCTGTTTTATGTCTTCTTTTGAGAAATGTCTATTAAGAATCTTTGCCTGTTTTTTAATTGGGTTATTTGTTTTATTGGTATTGAGTTGTGTGTGTTTCTTATATATTTTGGATACTAATCCCTTATTAGATGTATGGTTTGCAAATGTTTTCTCCTAATCCATGGGTTATTTCTTCACTCTATTAAGTCTGTCATAGGAGAAAAGCTCCATGACATTGGTCTGGGCAATGATTTCTTGGATATGACCCCAAAAGCACAGGCAACAAAAGCAAAAATAGACAAATAAGATTGCATCAAACTAAAAAACTTCTGCGCAGGAAAGAAAACTCTTTGCTTTTAAAGGCCTCATGTAATTAGATTATATGCACCAGGTGTTCCTTTCTGAGTAACTCAAAGTCACCTGATTAGTAAGTAAGCTTAATTACTTCTGCAGAATTCCTTTTGTTATGTAATGTCCCACAGTCATGGGCATGATAGCTCATCGGAGTCACTGGCTCAGGAATTAGAGTGAGAAATCTTGGGTACCATTTTAGAACTCTTCCAAGTATGCTTAATAAATGTTAGATTTATTTGTTTTGTAAAAATTTCTCTATATGTTTATAACTGACAGAGTTTTTGATATTTTGACAAAAGTGTCTAAGGGTCCTAGGACAATCATAATCTATCCCATTGATTAATAAACTTGCTCTGCATGGTTTCAGCTTGCATGGTCGTTTTGATGGCCCCTCACTACCATGCAACACAAGCACTGCCAGTATTGGATGCTGATTTAGAGCATGTGCTGAGTCCTGGAGAGCCTTGCCACGGCCCCGCAAGATGCTGCCACCTAGCAGGTGCTGTCACTGAGCCTTCAAAAGGCCACTGTACCATTCCATGAAGCCAGGATGATGGAGCCCATGGTAAAACCAGTGACTTATATCAACATGTGTCCTTTCCTATACCTATGCAGTGCAGCGGCCGTAGCCAGGCTGCCTTGGGGAGTGGCAGCCCATGTTGCTGAGCCCATCAAAACCTCCATCCTTGCCACCGTGGCCACTTGGCTTCTGCGCCCATTGAATGATGACAGGGTGGCTGGGGAAAGAGGCTGGTATCCACAAAATGGGACATCTTACCCATTTGATTATTAAAATCCTCTCTTTGGTGAGCATGCACATGCATTACAAATATCCGCACGTTTTTTTGCCCATTCAGAGAAGTGTATCCACTTGCCTCTTCCCCAATTTCCAATCATGTTGCTCCAGGTCCTTGACCATCCAGCCAAACCACCAGCCACAGCTCATGAATCAGTACATAATCATACGTCTGGCCATTTCTCCTTCCAAGCAAAGGGCACAGCCAGTTGGACTGCCCAAAGGTCTGCCCGCTGGGAGGACTGCACTTTACCACTGTCCCTCAGGGCTATGCCAGGCAGGGGCTGTGGTGCTGCTACTGGACACTTGCAGGTGGTGCCAGAGCAAAGCCATCTGTAAACCAGGCCTGAATCATGTCTTCCCCTGTCAGCAGATCGTAGGGAACTCCCCAGGAGCCATAGGTGCAGGCTGGGAGAGGGAAGGCAGTGCAGCAGGAGTGGGGACCATGAGCATTTGGGCCACTTCTGCCCAATCACAAGTGTACCACTTCCACTTGATGGTGGAGTGCTGCTGTGCACACCCAACTTCATGGCTTGGTGGGTCAGAGAACACCCAGTTCCAGAGGGAAGCTCAGGTTGCACGGTAGCTTGGTGGCCTGTAGTTAAGTGGTCAGGCTTTAAGGCTCCATAGCGGGCCTGGATCAATGATTTGAACCTGGATCTTGCCCAGGGGCAAAGATCAGACAGGGAGGGAAGTGCGCTAAGCCAAAGTCAATGAAGTGTTTGGGCCTCGCATTGCTGTAGAGCGGCTCTCCTTTCTGAGTAGATAGCGGAGACCAGTCTTTAGGTGAAATACGACGGTGCTGGAACTCAGGGAACCCAGAACTGGGACCCGGATCCGTAACCGCCAGCTGAGTGAGCTGGGACACACTTCTCTGTCTTCAACCATAGAATATGTGCTACTGGGCTCGGTGGTCTTTGTAGAATGGGAATGAGGAGTAAAGAATAACTCAGATAGCCTGCCGAGGGCACCCTGGCAGTCATAGCTCTGTCGGGGTTAGTTGTTGTTTTCTATAAGGTCCCTTTGGGCATTTATTTTAGTTTATATTCTTACTTTCAGGAGTGTGAGGGTAAAAAGGACTTCTTACTTTTATCCATGAAATTGTTCGTTGAATATTTCAAGATGATTTAAAGTTAATAGGTTTGAAATAAAATTTCTATTACATTAAGAATTATATAAAACCCATGTGCATAAAATGATAAAACTAATTTACAGCAAATAAAAGAAAACACAGATGAGTGGCAACTCATACCATTTCTTAGATGGAAGAATTCCACATACTGAGAATGTCAAGTTAATCCATTATTCAGTTCATTTCAGTGCCGATCAACGTCATAGAGCCAGGTGAAGGGAGGGGGGGAGGGGGTCATTTTAATTTAAAGGCTTCAGGTGTTTTTCTTAACCTTGGCAAGTTTTTCACCTGGGAGAACAAATATGTGAACACAGCCAAGAAATTTGTGTGGAGGATGAAAACCGGGTGTGGATCTAGCAGTGTGGGCCTCTCTCTTCTCATTCTGTGGTGTGAATTATTTACTGCACATGTGAATCAGCTTTGTAATCAAAGGACATTTTTTAAATTAATATTTTCTTGTTCAGTGTTTTCCAGGGTGCCTGACGATTCAGATTCGCACTGTCTTGTGTATATTCATAGTGGTCTTAATCTACTCGGTAGCCCAAGGATGTGTGGTGAGCATCTCCAGCCCTCGGTGGGTGGCGGGCAGGAGAGGGCACACCTTGCAGAGCCAGCCCGGAGACCAGGGCCCGGGCTCTGGAGACAAGGAGCGATCAGCAGAGATGTCAGGAACAGGCCAGGGGCTCCCAGAGAAGGAGGGAATGAGAGATCTCATCTAGCAGAGGGAACGAGAGCTCTCCCTGGTAGAGGGCAACCCTGTTCCTTCCTAGGACACAGAGGACAGGGGCGGGGAGGAATAACAGGATGAGCTGCCATGCTGGGGACACGACCTGGTCCTCCTGGGGCCTCTCAACTGCCCCAGTCGCCAGGGAGAGGTGGGAGGTCGGAGGCCTGGGAGCAGCCGTGAGAGGAGGGACAGCTGTGCATCCTGAGGCCCGGCCTCCTGAGCTCCTGCGCCCCTCGTTCCCAGGTGGGCTGCCTGCCCTGGGCCTGGAACTCCAAGCCCAACAGTACCCTGGTGGTCTTCTCATCTGGGAGCCGGCGCACAGCGCTGCCCGCCCTGCCCTGCGAGTCTGCGCACCATGCCCTGCTCTGCTGCCTGGTGGGCACCCTTCCGCTAGCCATATTCCTGCGGGTGTCCTCCTTGCCAAAAATGATCCTGCTGTTGGGGCTCACCACGTCCTACATCCTCGTCCTGGAGCTTAGCGGATACACCAGATTTGGGTAAGTACGCGGCTCCCAGAAGACAAAGCCCTGTGTTGCTAAATTCTAAATATACAGGTATGTATTAGAGTCTGCTGATTAGAAAACTTTTAATAAGGACTAATTACATACAAAATGTTTAGCTTGGTGGCTTCTCTGTTTCTTCTCTTTAGCCCCAATTCCGGCAAGGCCTCAGATCTCCCAGTGAGAAGCGGCTCTAGGCCTGGGTCATTCCCAGCGAGATGTTTGTGGGTGTTACCACCTGAGGGCCATTCTACAGATGATTCTTGGCTTGCTGGCTGAGTCTCACCTTGGAAGCTCAACACTGACTTGGGTTTTCGTCCTCATCTCCCACCAGGGGCGGTGCCGTCTCTGGGCGCAGCTACGAGCCGATCGTGGCCATCCTGCTGTTCTCCTGCGCGCTGGCCCTGCATGCCAGGCAGGTGGACGTCAGGCTGCGGCTGGACTACCTCTGGGCGGCGCAGGCAAGATGAGCCCTTTCTGCTTTCTGCGGGCGTGGGGGGGCATGCAAAGAAGCCTCAGCAAGCATCGGGCGGGGGGCGTGGGCTGAGACACCTCAGCAGCGCGCAAGGGCCGGCACTGTCGGGGGATGGAGGTGTATGTAGGAAGGCCATGACGAGTGGGAGTGGCACCCGTGGAAGCAGCTCAGAAGGCCGTAGGGTGCATGTGACAGAGCCTGCCTGATGGTCAGTGTGGCTGTTTGGTGAGGCGGCGAGTTCCCCGTCCTTGAGCAGCGTGTGTAGTTGCTGGTGCCCGGGGGCTCAGCCTCCACTGGACAGTAAGAGCAGGTCTCATCAGGATCACTGGGAGACTCGAGGAAATGCGGAGCCTCGCACCACCCACCCAGATTTAGAAGGTCTGCAGGTGGGGCTGGGAATCTATATTTTTAACAAGTACCCAGGAAATTCTGATGCAAGAGGTGTGGAGACCACGCTGGAGACTCTGATGTGTGAGCCAGCCTCAGGCCCTCGCCATCTGGGTACCAGGTTGCCGGGTGTGTGTCACACTTTCCTGGAGTCTGTGGGTGGCTTTCTGTTCGGGAGTGAGCCAGGTGGTGACTGCGGATATTGACCCTGAGTGCCTTCCATGGATCCACATGCACAGATGGCTGCGGCATACCTGTGTCCACTCCACGGCCGGGGGCCAGCGCAGCATGTGGGTGCGGGTGCGAGTGTGTCTCTGTGTGTGGCCACCCCTTATGTGCGCCTGCTCTGTGCTCCCCCGGCCTCTCGGAGATGAGGCAGTTGAGCATTCCGTACTGGGCTACCTGGGTTCATGTCCCATCTGTGGAACTTTCAGACTGTTTCCCTCTGGGAAAATTGCTCCACCGAGGTTTCCTCATCTAAAAACAGGAAGTGAGGCTAATGAATATTAACTTTAGCAAGAGCCAGTCATCTTATTGTGACACAGTAAGAGTAGCTCTCTTTGCTATTGGGGCTATTTAATCTTATTCAGTCCTCCAAGCAGCGCTGCCCGGGGGGATTACAGGTAAGAAGACAGGGGCTGCGGAGGTGGCATGCCAGGGTTGGGCAGCTGGTGAGTGAGTGGCCAAGCTGGGATCCAGCCCCCGTCTGTGTGACCTCTGGGTGGGCCCTGAATTCCTGGTCAGAGCAGTGTCTGAGGCCAGGCAGACACTGTCACCCTGGGGCCTCCACTCTGCAACCAGGACTGAAGCCCAGAGTGGGGGCTCAGACACAGGCAGGTGCAGCCCCAAGGGTGGCGGGAAAGGACGGGTGGCCAGGATCAGCCGAGGGCTCACCTTGGAGGTAGGAATCCCAAGGGTGCCCAGGTGTCTTCTGGCAGCAGAACAGGCTTACTGGAATTGGGGAGCCTGTCGATTTGTTGTCCTTGTTCCTGAGGCTGGCCGGGTGGCAGGCCACGTTGTCCAGTGACTGGGACCCTGGTCTGCAGCAGAAGTGACATGTGTTGGGCCTGGTGTCAGGTAGTCCTCGTTCCTAATTTCCACAACTCCACGTAGGGTCTGTGTGACTCAGGGCAGTGACCAGCCTAGCTCTCCTTCCTCTCCAGCAGAAAAATGAGGTGTGCCAGAAATAACTGAAACCCTAATCCAGATGAGCCAGAAATAAGTGGAATCCTCTTCCCCACATGCCTGGCCACAGGCCTGGCGCATAGTAGGTGCTCGGCAAGGCCGCATGGTCCTTCATCTGACAGCCCACTGCCCTGAGACGGTCCCTGAGGCTGCTGCATGGACAGCCGTCTGGGGGGAATCTCTTTCTGGGAAGGAGAGGCAGGGAGGGTGAAGGGAGGGTGTGAGGAGCATCCGGAGACAAATTGTCACTTAGACCAAAAAAAAAAAAAAATGGAGACAGTTGTTTCCTTCTAGTTTTAGTAACCCGGAAAAGACAGAAACAACTAAGTGGATCTTGTCCACACAGCAGGGCAGGATGCATATTTAAGATGGTGGAGAATTATTTTGTTGCTTTAGGTAAACAAAAGAAAGAATATGTACACACGTGCACACACACACACATGCACACACTATGTATATATGTACATCTAGATACATAGGCTCACAAATGCTATTTGTTTGTAACAGCTTTATTGAGATACACTTCTCATAACACACAATTCACTCCTTCACTGTAATCCAGTGGTGTTCGTCATACTCACCGAGTCCTGCAACCATCACTGTGATCAATTTTAGAACAGTTTTATCTCCTTCGAAAGAAACCCTGTCCCTCTTAGCTACCACTCCCCATTTCTTCCCAGCCCCCAGCCCTAGGCAGCTGCCAGTCTCCCTTCTGTCTCCAGATCTTCCCATTTCGTTTATTCTTCAGCCTCTGTGTGTTAAGTTAGTGCCTACTCTGGACAGAAGACACCCCTGTGCGCTGCCAGACAGTGCCCCACACTAACCCTGCAGGTGGGGGAGAACCCCAGATCCCCGAGGGTCCTGTGGTCCAGAGCTGTCTTTACTCCACACCCAGATTCCGGTTCTGGGGTGGTGGGGGCCACTGAGATCCCAAGTCCTTGGCCTCCTCTCCTGGGGTCGTGATGCTGAGTGGTGGACCCATTGCTGCAGGGCTGTCTGGACAGGGCGGGTCCTGGATTCCTGCTGCAGACCGGGTGGGGGACTGGGACGGGTGCGCCTGGGGGAAACACATCTGAATCTGACCTGACCCCCTGGAGGGACTCAGGCTGTGGGGCGGGGGCAGGTGGAGGATGAGTCATCACATGAGAGGGCCCCACGCAGGAAGAGCAGGTGTTTCCCTGGACTTCATAGGATGCTCGAAATTCGACTGCGGAAAGATGAGGGGTGGGATGGAGGGAAAGGGACGAGGAGTGTGGCAGAGGGAGCCTTCACAGACACCCTGCGAGGAATCAGAGCCCAGTCACAGGGGCCAGTGCCCCTTCTAGGGTCCCTCCCTGTGGGCAGTGGAGACTGACACATCCCGATAGCCTGAAGGACAGAACCTGGTCCCATCCTGTCACGGAAGGTGGTCTGATAGTGGAAGGGAGTGTGAGGGGAGCCGAGGGGCAGGTGGAGCCCTATGGTCACCCACATGGAGAACATCTTGCATAGTCAGGGGGCTCCCGGTGGGTACCTTGGAAGGTGTCCTGTGTGCTTAAGGGGTGGTGGTGGAGGTAGAATTAGTTTCCAAGGGTACCGTGCGTGTATCGCTGAGTCTGGGCTGAGAGCAGATGGCACACTCCAGTTGGCTGAGGTCAAGAGCCCTTAATGATGTGTGGGCTGTTGGAAAGAGGAGGGTGAGCACGGGGGCAGCGCCAGGCTGGTGTGGCACTGGGGCAACCTGGTGGGAAGGGGCCCTGTAACCAGGGCACAGGGAGGGTCACCTAAGAGGATTCACGACCTTTGGCTGAGGGACATGGCCAGCCCACTGTCCCCAACTTCTGGACGCTGGCGGTGCTCCCCATTGGCTGAGCCCAATTGGAAGTGGGAAGCCAGGGAGCCTGTTGGCTCAGCCCTCAGGTCGGCCTCCCTGGATAGAGCAGAGGGGGTAGATCGCAGATGCAGCACACACCGGTTCCTGGAAAGGTGATCTGTCCAGCTGCTGTTTGCCAGAGCCACGCCAGGTAATGGGAGAAGAGCCTCTTTATGACAGGCTGTGCCAGCGAAGGTAGTCTTTGTCCACCACGGCTGGCTCTCCAGGGTAATCCACTAGCTGGTCTGGGCAGAGCTGCAGACCCAATCATCAGCTGGCCCTCTGGATTAAGACCTTACAGTTGTGAGTACTTACTCAGAGCTTGAGAAGAATGGATTTAGAATGAGCTAGGAAGACTGGAACAGCCTGGACCAACAAGATTGAGGTTCCGGGTTATTTACTAGGGTGCCCAGTTGGCTCCCTACTCTCAGAGGGCAGTGTGGGGCCTTGGCCATGACTCCTCCAGCTGGGGGACGCTCCTTTAGGGGGCGGCATTTTCTCTCGTCTGGGTTGGCATGGCCTTTTCTTGGGTTTCGTGTCCTTTTAAATGTTATCAAATGAATATTAGACCCTGCCATGGGATTCTCCATCCAGTGACACCCCCCAGCAATTCCCACTCTGTATCGAGCTCGCCCACAATTTCAGGGTGAGAACACATTCCTCGGCCTCGGAGCACCCCAGGTAAGACTGTGGGTTCTCATGCTTGTGTGTCACGAGGGAAGCGTTGCCTAAATGGAACACACTGACATATGTTTCCACAGAAGCCTAGCAAGAAATGCCACCCACTTACCTGTAACCCGACCAAAACGTGGAACCTTCTAGACTTTGTCTGTTTGACCTTTGGATATTTAGACATGTTATACAAACATTAGAGTGCCTGAAACTATTGCAAAATTGCCAGGCCAAAGACTAGGTGGGTGAATTATTTACATAGACCAGGTTGGTCACAGAAACCTACATAAACAGACAGGCTTTTCCCTTGTGACAACATCCTCGGCCTCTTCAACTGTTGGGACGCTTTTGTTCTAGCGTTATTTTTTTCTTTGAACTCAGTAGATAATCGCCATGGCAAATACAATTTCAATGTTTATGCTTCTAGTATCAATGCAGTTAACTTATTTCTCTACCGGTAAATGCTTAATTTGAGGGTAATTTCCATTTTGTGGTTGCCACTATTAACATGTAGAGTGAAGGTTACCCGAGGTTGGTCATGACACAGACCTGGTAGTAGAAGCTGAGTTGGAGACCTGGTTCCACCCCTTTCTTCAGTCTCTTATCATCTCCAGTGTGTTTCTCCACGTACATGACAGTAACCCTTGTCTAGTGGGGTTGTCGGGGAGTTCACTTCATAGAAGCCGCAGTCATGCTTCGTGGATGCTGAAATGCTACCCATGTTAGTCGTCATTTTGTTCTGTTACTGGCCGTAGGTTTCACGTCTGGGCTTTGGGTGAGCACATCCTCACAAATAGCTTTCACTGGGCTGAACACACTACTATGGAAGCCCCCAGGGGCCAAACACTGGTGCAGAAACTCAGGACCCCATGTCCAGTCATGCCCCGCAC